AGGTGGTCTGGAAAACCCATGCTGACATGAAGTGTTGCTCCTGTCTGGTGAGGGTGTGTTCACAGGCAAACTTTCCTGTAGGATTGTAAGAGCACACAGGTCTTTTCCTGTATGTTTGTGGGACGGAGGGAGGCATGCAGCACAGGGAAGAGAGGAGAAACCAGCCACAGTATGCAGTAGTGGGAAACTGAGTTTAAAAGAAAATGTTTGAGAAGAAAAAACGAGAGTGCAAATTATGATGTAAGACCTTGAAAACCAGGTAAAGGTAGAAGAACCAGGTTCTAGTACGGGTAAGGAATGCTAGTTCTAGGTACAGTCGGTCTGATAATGGTTGGTATCCTTGGGCTGCTCTCTCATTCATTCATTGGACAGATAGGAGCCACGCATTGTGGGTATGTGGAGCCCTAAGCATTGTGGGTGTTTGAGGGATTGTGGTGTGTGGAGCCCTGGGGCAGGGATCATTTTGGTGTTTTCTAGAAAGCAGATCACGGTGAGCTTGGGGGAGAGGTGTGAAATGAGAGGAGGATGAGGACAGGTCACAGCACTTCCGGGCCAGTGGCAGACAGTGGGTTTTTACTTAAGTGTGGCAGGGAGCCGTGGGAGGTGTGAGCTGGGGTCCCTGGTGGGATTTGTTTTGAAGACGAGCACTCTAGTGGTTTGTAGAGAATGATGGATCACCTGGGGCAAGAGTGGAAGTGGGGTGACCAGTTTGGAACAACAGTGGTGGCACATGGCTGGCATGGTGGCAGGAGCCTGAGAGCCAGGGCTGGATGTGGGACGTGGTGCATGGGCAGAGCTAAGAGAACTTGCTGGTGGAGGGTGGGCAGGAGCACAGGTGTCCTGGATGGCCTGTCTGGAGCAGTCAGCCCTCTGGGCCCCAGCCCATTTACTCACATGTGAGCTGGGCAGGAAATGCAGTCAGGAGGTGTGGTTGGGCTGAGCTAGAGGTGCCTGACAACTACATGGAAGTGCGAGTCGGAGGTGAGCTCAGCCGAGAGGTAAGATGGAAGAAGGAAATGTTGGGAATCACGGTAGTTACTGCTGCGTAGCAGGTCACCTCAGCACGTCCCAGCCGGAACTGCACACCATCACGATTTCACCGTCTCTGGGTGAGGGACGTGAGCGGCTTAGCTGGGTGGTCCTGGTCAGTCTGTGAGAAGGCTGCAGGTAAGATGCCGGCTGGGGCAGTGATGCCATCTGGGGCGGCGGTGCCAGGTGGGGCAGCAAGCCTCTGAAGCCTGGACAGGGGCTGGAGGGTCCACCTCCAAGGGCCTTGCCACAAGCCTGCCTCACACTGTGGCCGCCACTGTCCACGACAGCGATTGATTCAAAGTGAGTGTGCCTGGGACAGAAGTCTATTTTTGGGTGATCTTGGAAGGGACACTCATCACTTCTGCCGTTTTCAGCTCTCAGACTAACCCTGGTGCAGCGTAAGAGGGGCCTGCCGCAGGCGTGAATACCAAGAGGAACAGTTGCAGGGCACCACTAGAGTCCTTGTCTGGGTGTGAAGCTGTGGGGCCTGTGGGGTCATCCAGGGAGCAGGTGCATGGGGGGAAGAGGGTTCGTGGCCCAGCCCTGGGCCCATCAGCCTTTGGAGTTGAGAGGGGGACAAGGAGCAGGATGCAGGTAGGATGGGGAGGGCAGAGGCAAGAGAAGGGAACACTGACCTGTGCCTGATGAACACCAGTAAAATGAGGACGGAAAGCAGTGACTGCTGGAATTGTCAGCAGCGGTGTTCGTGGTGACCTGAAGGGCAAAGTGTCATACCACTGGGGACAGAAGCCTAATTGGTGGTGAGAGGAGCCGCTAAGGAGGGAGAGACAGCTTTTGCAGAGTTCTCCTGAGGGGAGCAGCGGAATAGAGTGCTACCAAGAGGTGAGCGTGGAGTTGTGAGGGTTTGGTTTATTTTGAAGATGGATGTTTTGAAAATGTGTTAGTAATTGTGGGGTTGAGAGTAAGATATGCTGGAGTGTGGGTGGTTGCAAGAGCAAAGTGTGAGCAGGTGACCGAGCAGGGACCCCGGGCCAGGCTGAGGGCATCAGCTGTGAGAACAGGGTACTCCATTTGCTGACCAGGAGGCACGATGCACCCTGTTGCCATGAGAGCAGATTTCGCCAGGTCAGTAGATGTGACGAGAAAGATGTGAGCTCCCACCTGAAAGCTTCTGTTTCTTCCTCAGTTATGAGAGAAGAGGGACAAGGAGTGAGCACAGATGGTGGAGGTGACTGGAGAAGGGACAAGAAGGTGGCAGTCCTGTTGGAGAGGAAGAGACATAGTACAGGGAAGTGATATTGGATCGCTGAAACCAAAAACCCAAACCCATTGTCATCAGCTCAGTTCTGGCTCCTAGCAACCCTGAAGGGCAGAGTAGAACTGCCCCATAGGATTTCCAAGGCTGTAAATCTTTGTGGAAGCAGACTGCCTCATCTTTCTCCCATGGAGGGGCTGGTGGGTTTGAACTGCCAGTCTTTCAGTTAGTGACTGAGTGCTTTTAAGCACTGTGCCACCAGCATTTCTATTTAAAACTTAGGGTCCTAAACTTAGGGTCTGACTAGTCACTGTGGTCATGTGCATTCTTCCTGTAATGCTCCGCTGCTCCGCAGCTGGGTTTCCAGATATCAGAGGACGCCCCGAGACAGGCCTGGAGCTAAGGCAGCTCGAGCCATCCAGTCCTGGAGACCCGTGGTGGCGACAGCTCACCCCTGTGACCAATAAGACACAGCCTCAGCCTCCACTCTGGGTTGCCCGTTTCTACCACCTATGCAGCCTGTCTCTGGCCGGCAGTTCCGCTGTAAGCAGACACGCACCCTTGAACCTGGAGCTTGTGTTGTGGGGTGGGCTGCCTTTGCAGGACTGTGTCTACTGCTGCTCACCTCACCCCGCGCTTCTCTCAGTTCCTCTTCCGACTGCTCCTCCCGTGCTGTGACCCAGTGCAAAACAGCGTGTCTTGTAGGTGCTGCATCAGAACAGCGTCCTTCACCCTGCCCTTTCTTGGTTTAAGTTTCGAGAGCTAGAGAGGGAACAAGAATCAGGTAGCAAATACTGAGCATAAGAAATGTATACTTTAATACAAGTCTTTTGAAACTGTGATCTGTATTACTTACAGTTAAAATTGATATAAATATTAGAATATTGTTCTGGTTACCTAGTGCTGCTCTAACAGAAAATACCACAAATGGGATGGCCTTATCAAACAGGAGTTTATTCTCTTACAGTTTGGGAGGCTAGAAGTCCAAGTTCAAAATGCCAGGCTCTAGAGGCTGTGTGAAAGCCCCTCGACCTTGGGCTTCAGCTCTGCCTCTTGCTCCTGGCCCACTGAAGCTGGAGACATCTCTTCACTCAGGCAGCTACTGGCTACTGAGGCTCACAAGCCCAAGGTTGACAAATAAAATGGCACAATCCTGACGTTACCAAACCACATGATCCACCATTGATTCAAGTCCATTGAAGGTCCCAAGGTCAGCTGAGCATGGCAGGTTGCTGAACAACAACTCAGCTACATGCAGGGTTCAAGTGTGCTATAAGCTAGAGACGATTCCCGAAGCTGTTTCTTATATATGGGAAGCAGACCACATACCCAAAGGAGCAGCCACTCAGCTGCTCCCAGTAAATTCCACCGTGGAGTTGATTATCAGTCTCATCATGAGGAATACTATATCCAGCTGCCCAGCTACTCCACCAGGCCCAGCCAAGTTGACACACAAACTTAATTACCACAAATATGGTTAGGATACTAAATTGAGGACAACACTGTTTTTCCTTTGGTTTGCTTCCAGTGAAGCTGTATCATTTGTGATAGTTGATGGAACATTGGCGTTTAGATAATCCTTTTGAAATTTGTGTTTCCTCACCTGTCATGAGTTTATTTTCCAGAATGTGTGGAGTTGTGATACTTGAGATGGCCTCCTCACTTGACCTTTCCCCAGTTCATTGTACCTCAGGTTGATGTTGCATTACAGTCTCAAAAGTTGAACTCTGAAATGTACCTCTCATTGTTTTATGAGTATTTTTGCCCGCAATAAATCTCATCGTGCCTGGTTTACCAGAACATCACTGGCCTCTGAGAAACCAGGAGTTCCACTGCGGGCTGTTGTGGGCTGCCTGTGGGTTGTGGGCCTTGAGCAGGTCTTTTGACTTCTCTGAGTGGTGTGTCTTCATCTACCAAACACAGAGAGTAGTATTTGCCAGCCCCCTACTTCACCCAAGGTTAATATATTCCCCTTTTTTCCCTGTGAAATGAAGGCCCTGAACTAAGCCCCTTCTGTTTCTGCAGTCAGCTCTTCATCACCAGGCCTTTGATGAGTTGTCTTCTTGGACCTGTTGCCGTGGGGCTAAGTCTGACTCCTGGGGACCTGTGTGTCCAAGGAGAGCTGTGCCCACAGCCTTTTCAGCGGCTGTTTTCCGGAGCACATCACCAGGCCTTTGATGAGGTGTCTTCTTGGACCAGTTGCCGTGGGGCTAAGTGTGACTCCTGGGGACCTGTGTGTCTGAGGACAGCTGTGCCCACAGCCTTTTCAGTGGCTATTTTATGGAACCCATCACCAGGCCTTTTTTCTGAGGTACCTGTGGATGAACTCCAGCTTCCAGCCTTTCAGCTAATAGCCAAGCACATTCTCCATTTATACCACCTGGGAATACCAGATATTTTCTTACAGAACTGTTCAAATGCCTATTACATTTTTTTAACTTCCATAAACCTGCTGCTTTAACGTGCTCTTTGGAGGTGATTAGCCTCCAAATGGTGAGTCCATTGGCTGTGGACATGAGGACTGGCCTTCACTGATTTGCTGTTCACAGGTTTATACCAAAACATGGGATTGACAAGTGTGCTTTAGCACTTAGTGTTGCAAGAAACTACACCATGAAGCTGAGAGATGTTGTGACAGGCTGTTATATGTTCAGGTTGCAGTTCTCTTTGTGGACAGCACCCCGTTCAGCCTGCATGGCGAGGGGCCCCTGGCAGCTCCCTGATGCTATGTGTTATGAAGTTGGCGTCCCAGATGCCTCTGGAGAACAGCTCCGTTCAGCAGATGGTGTTCCTGCTCCTCTCCAACCTCGCCTTGTCTCATGACTGCAGAGGGGCCATTCAGAAGGTAGGGATGCGTCCCCCACCCTCCACTGGAGGCAGGTGTGCAGCAGAGCTGCCTCTGGTGAAGGACGCGTGGGCTGCCTGGATCTGGGGTGGGTTATTGAGGGGCAGAGCTCAGTGTCTAGGGTGGACTGTTGAGGGACAGAGCTCAGTGTCTAGGGTGGGTTATTGAGGGGCAGAGCTCAGTGTCTAGGGTGGACTGTTGAGGGGCAGAACTCGGCATCTAGGGGGACTGTGGCCAGTTTGGGCATTTTATTTTAAAGGATAATAAAGGATGAAGAGGCTTGCTTAATTTAAAGCCAGTTGATGGTCCATGAAAAGTGGCAGAAGCGCGAATATGGAGATCATAACATTGCCTTTGAGTTTCTCCCCTTCGCATTGGGATTATGTTTTATCTCTTAAAAAACTGAGGGTTGTAGAAGGACAGCTGTCTTACATTTATTTGTGATCATAAAAGTAATATGTTTGTTCTTTAAACAGAGCAGATTGAGTAGTGACGATTTTAGGTCACTTTACGTTGGCAAAATGGTTTATGGAATCTCAGCCCTTTAACTTTGTGACATAGAGGCACTCATTCTTTATGAGTCCTCCGGGATGTAAAGTCGAAATTGGGCTTCTGAACACGATTTAAACTCAGGCATCTTTAAGAGGAATCGGATGAGCTCAACATATTCCAGTACACGTGGTCAGTTAGAATCTCTGTTTGTGGGTGTATAAGTACAATTCCTGATTTGGGAAACTCCTTGAGATTTGTCTGTGATCATATTAACTGTTACTTGCTAGTTCATGGTAATGTGAATGCTTCTGTTTCTTGTACATGAAGACCAGATGAGTTGCAAGTTGACAGTGTTCACCCTTTTCCTGTGCTATGTCGTCTCCTCCCACCTCCCCTAAAGAAAGGGATCTCTAGCTAGTGAATGTCATCCTGAAACCCTTAGGACATTTGCAGGCCAATAATGTGATGCTGTAGTCTGGAAATCAGGCTTGGCTGGAAAGGTCCACACCGTGGAATGGACAAAGGCACAAATCAGGGAACCTTTGCCCTGCTGGGGCCCGTTTTTCAACATTGAGAGCACAGGACTGTATGTTTTCTTTCACTCCTGAGGGATATATCATCTTGAACTGGATGTATGTGATCACCACCCCTGAAAACTAGAGCTCCTATGCGTGAGAGCACAGTCAGGCAGTGCCCCTTCCACGTCTCCCTTGTGGAACAGTGACAGGAGCTGAAGGAGGGGCCTTAAGCGGAATGCC